TGAGATGTCGGGGGCCCTTGGTCATGCAGGCGTTGGGTGGAGGAAGAGAAGAGTTGAAGATGCAGGACTTGCAATCGACAAAGGAGAGAAAGAAGAAGAAATGCTTTTTCATAGAGACGACGGGGTGAGCTGCAAGGGGTTGGGGTGTATGTACAGCGGATGATTAATAATAATAACAAATAATAATAATAATAATAATAATAATAATAATAATAATAATAATAATAATAATGTAAAGAAGAAATAATATTTTTAAAATGCAGCAAATGCTGCCGCTGTTTATTTTGTTTGTTTTTTCTGCATTTGTTTGTATTATTTATTTGTTTTGTTTATTTGCTGTCTTTGTTTTATTTGTGTGTCTATATTATTTCTCTGCATTTCCTAACTTATATTTATTTATTTTTATTTAATTATATTTATTAACGTAATTATGTTTATATTTATTTTTATTTATTTGTTTGCTTCAGACAAACAGACAGGAGACGAGGAGACAGTGGACTCGCAGATAAAACAGCAGCAGCTTTCTCTCTCCTTTTTAAAGCGGTATGCCTTTCTTCTTTTGCTGCTGCTGCTGCTGCAGTTGGTGCTTGCTGCTGCTGCATTTGTTGCTTGTTTGCTGTTGCTGCTGCTCATTATATTCTTTCTTGCTGCTGCTGTCTGTGTTTGCTGCTGCTGCTGTTGCTGCAGGCTATGCTGCTTCTGCTGCTGCTGCTGCGGCTTCTGCTGCTGCTGCTGCGTTTTTCTTTCTGTTTATTTCTTTTTATTTTCTCTATCAACGGATAAAGAAGATAAAAAGAGTTTTGTTGTTTTGTTTTTATTCTTACAAACAAATACAAAAAACATCATCCTTCTTTATCTTTTTTTGTCTTTCTCTGTCTTTACCCCTCACTACAACAACTGATTTACTCTTTTAATTATTTTTGTTCATTTCTTCGTTTATTTTTTATTACGTTTATTCTTTTTATCCTCATCATTTTAATTATTTTAATTATTTTTATTATTTATACTATTTTTATTATTGTTCTGCGTTTTACTATTTGTAGCAGCTTCGCTATTAGTAGACCGCCTATTATTATTTATATTATTATTATTTATATTATTATTATTATTTATATTATTATTATTATTATTTATATTATTATTATTATTATTATTATTCAATAATAAAGATTACTATCATTTATTACAAACAAAACCAAACAAACTCTTCATCAGACAAAACGACAACAAACAGTTTTACATGCATGCAATAAGCATATATATAAACATATCTATATATATATATATTTTATATATACGCATATATAGGTATATAAATATAATATATATATACATATATATATATATATAGGGAGAGAGATAGATAAGTACACTATATATACATGTTCAAGTATATATATATATATATATATATATATATGTAGATATATACATATATATATTTATATATATTTAGACATACATATACATGTATATATAAACATATATATATGTAT